CAGCAGCAGCAGCAGCAGCAGGCTCCAGGTGTTTTGAAGTCACCTGGACTGAAAAGCTGCTCAATGTTGTTGTTGTGGTGTGTCTGTGCCTGTTGGTATTCCTCTCAAGTGGAGTCAGTAATTACAGGCTGGCTGGGTTCTGCCAGAGTGGAGAGGGTTGTTGATGAAGAGGAGACCTGTTGACTGGGGAGGGATACAAACGCCTGCTCCGACACTAGAGATGTCATGGGGAATGAGGATAACACACACTTGCAAATAAAAGCATACATTTTGAATTTTTGTGATTATTCTGAGACTAATAATACCATTTAAATATGTGGACAATATTAATTGACATGGGCATTTATAAGAGACTGTATAAAAATGATTATGTGGGTTATGTACTTTTTCTTCTTGCTAAAGGCTATTCTAAGTAAATGGTGTTGGAAAAAGAGAAAGAAACATTTTTTTGGTGGGATAATAAGCGTGTCCTAGTCGTGTTCATCACTTTTTAGTGTCCCCTGTTGTGTAGTGATGTCAAATTGGTGAAGAGGTTTTCTTAATTTGCTTTTATTTAGTCTATTTGCATGCTTTTTTTCTTAAGCTGCAGCGTGTTGAGCTCTCAAGGCCACTGTTGGTTCCGGTTAGTAGCTGGAGAGTTTGGGACACAGTCATGTAATCTAGGTCTGTAGGAACATTTTAATAAAGCTGAGGATGGCTCTGCTATTAGAATGATGAATCATTAAGTTCATTAAGTTAAGTTCTGGCCTTCTCACCCCCGATCATTTTCAAGTCAATTTAAACAGGATGTGGGCATCAAATCAGCACTGTATCATTTGGATGTTCTGCCATTTACAATGCCAATAAATTATGAATGAACTCATTTCTAGTGAACAAACAAGAGCGAGTATGATATGAAAAAACACATTTTCCAGAATAGTATGCTGCTTATGCTGAAGTACATTCTCCTGGTATAAAAATAGATGTGAATATGAGGTGAGTACAAACTCAGGATGAGTGACGTAGAACCATAAAGAGAGACCTTGACTGTATGTACGTGTGTTGAGAGGGAGCATAACAGCATTCATACCATTTTCTATGACTTAACATTAGGATTCTGGGTGTTTGTGTTTTTGAATACAGTAGATTTCTGCTTAAGGCTGTGAGAAGCTTGAGTTGTCAAGACAACCATGGAGGCTGCACTGGTTACTGCAGAGAAATTCAGCCTTTTCTCTTTTTCTTAGATAATGTAGCTTTAGGGTAACACAATGCCTGATGTAAATTTGCTGCACATGTTTGAAGAGAAAATGAAGGGTCAAAATATGTTTTGCCTCCTGGTGTCATCTTGAAAGCTGTTTGTCCACTTTTGACTCAGTCACTGCAGTCTGCCTCATGTCAAGAGAGGCCGTGCCATGTGTCCACTTCACCACTGATTTGGACTAAGGAGGTGCCGAATACGTTTGCCTGGCAACAGCTGCACTATTTACAAAATGATCGAGACAACGCACTCACTCCCTGAGACAGAGAATCAAACAATGAGACAGACAAGGTATGAAAGAGGTATCTGTTACATCATCAATACTCAAATCTGGTCACTCACACAGACTGCACTGAACCACAAAGTCGCAGTACATATTTGATCAGAACTGAGTTAAAGGTCCAGTGTGTAGGATTTATATATTATATCTTGCACATTCCCCGAACAATATTGTGCACATTCCTGCAAACTGTACAGCTCTTCATTGATTTATTTAAATAACGGTCATATTGTTCATGTTGTCTGATTTTGAATGTTTATTGTTATATACCAATTTACCAAGGCAAATTCCTTGTATGAAAACCTACTGAGCCCTGAACCTGATTCTGATTCTGATTTAGTTTTATCTAACGGTGAGGTTGCAGATACCTCGCTTCACCCTCCTCATCCAATTTATTATGATGACATTGTTGGACACTGATATGATTTTTCAGTCGTCTGTCAGTGCCTACTCTTTTTATACACATACATGAATATACTGAATATGACATAGCTACTTTCCAAACAGCTTTAAATGTGATATCTGGTGATATTACCTGTCTTTGTATGAAATTTGTAGTTGGCATGGTGTGAAATATGAAGAAGATCTTTGTTTAAATTATGTAATAGGACACACAAATACTGATGTAGCCTCTTCTTCTACTCGTCTCTACATTGGAACGGTTTCACTTGTCTGTAGATGTTTATTATCTATAGAATATGTGACAATTCATGACTCTTATTAAGACGATTTTTGTTGCTAAACCTAACCAAACCTTAACCACAGTAAGAACACAGTTGTTTAATCTCAACTAATGAGCTGTTAAAATGTTACAAATACTCTATATATCTAACATGTTCTCATCAAGGAGCGGCTGCAGACAAGTATTAGTTCACTTTTATAATGAACTTAATGTCAATATAAGATAAACATATGTTTGCACTAAAAAGATCAATAATCTATTCTGTTTACAGCTAAAGAAGTCTGTATACTGCCCTCTGTTGTGTGAGTCTGGTATTGAACCTACACCCTAGCAGCAGCAGGAGGAGTGGCCAGGCTTTCACTGAGGTCACTGAGGT